GTGATCGAGAGCAACCCTTCGCCGCACTGCGAGCGTGGAGCCTTGCCTTCTGAAGGGGGCAGCCCTTCCGATCTCCTTTTCTCGCTGGTGGTGGTTTCATTTCCTTCTCAGTTTGTGGTCCTGTGGATTCTCAAACCCAGATATTGCGATGAGTTTTCCAACTGTTTGCTCTTTTATATTCTTAACAAGTTTGAAATCTATTTTCTGGATTTTAATTGTAAACGTTCTAATCTTATAATTTGAAAAGTTTAAATTTTTTATTTTAATTTTTTAAATCTAGCCACTAAGAGTATGATCTGAGAATGTGGGATTTGTTAGATTTCTATAACTGGGGAATTGGCATGTTTGATTGTTCTTATTTACGTGCATATTAATTTCATCACAAGAATAGGATTGGATTCTTGTATTACTCTAAATTGTGATTGGTATTGGTATGTTGTAGAGTTCTACGGAGTTTGTTTGAAACCCAGATCTGGGTTTGTCTGAAACACAGATCTGGGTTTCATCACAATTAACAATTAAAAATTTTTCCAGGAAACCCCCAACGAAAAATACACACTATTTCTTCTCGTCTATCAAATCGATCATAACCACTACCTACATTCCAAAGCTTCTCAACCTTTTGAGAAAACCCAGAGCCTGGGTTTGCAGAGGTAAGAAAAACCTAGATCTGGTGTATGGTTTATGGTGTTTATTACTTGTATTTTTCATTCTAATGTATGAATTTTCACTAGATTGAGAAAAACTCAGATCTGGGTTTGGGTTTGAGAAAAACCTAGATCTGGGTTTGAGAGAGAAAGACGAAGGGAGAAGAGAGAGTGAAAGAGGAAGAGAAAGAAGAGATGTTTTATTTTCTGACGTGGATAAAAGAAAAAGATATAATTATTTTTAAATTAATTAAAAATGCCAACTCATAAAAAATATGTTTTTTTTTTCCATGTCATTGATTAAGAAAAAAAAAAGAATTGATTTGCTGGCATTTTAACATGTCACTTGTCATTTAACTGACGAAAGGACTATTTTGGTACCAAAAATGAAAGTTTGAGGATAATTTTGGTACTTTTTAAAGGTGAGGGACAATTTTGATGCCAAAGTCAAAAGTTGAGGGACCAAAATGATACTTAAACCAGACAATAAGGGATTAAGTTACACTGGAATTCCCCTGTCAACGGGCATGATCAACATGATATCTGGAGGAATGCATGTAGGTGGTTAAAGTGCTGGAGGTTGCAAGGCTTGTGCTCGTCAGGTGATGACTTTAAATAAAAACAAGCCCCACAAGTGCCCTTTTAAAGAAGCTGAATGGGAGAATGCACTCATCATGTTTAGCTCATTTGATTATAAACGATATGATAGGGAGCCATATGTAATCATGCGTCATGTTGATCCCCTAGTGGCTGCTGTGCATATCGACAACCATACGATGAACAAGGTATTCATTGATACATGTAGCTCCCCAGATATTTTATATTGGGATGGCTTTCAAAAGATGCAACTGAATCCAACTTCTTTAAAAAAATATGAAGGCCTTATATATGGATTTGACAACCAACCTATTTTAGTGGAGGGACTGATTACCTTACTGATATATGTGGGCATTAAGCCAAGATACAAGATGGTGTCGATGAAATTTTAGTGGTGAAGATGAAATCAACTTTCCACGCCATTATTAGGAGAGGCACCTTGTGTGAGCTAAAAGCAGTTATCTCACAGCTTCATCTATGCATAAAGTTCCTTACTCTTAATGGCATATGAGTGCTGAGAGGGAACCATAAAATGGCTAAGACTTGCTATCATGACACCTTTAAGAAGGTTGAGCTCATTGTGACTTCTTGAGCATATACATCGTAGCAATCTTTGCCTAACCGACCTGGCTTGCAAACTATGAGCATTTCTAATGTGGATCATAGACCAGAAGGTGTTGAATAGAAAGTTGAGTTAGTAGAACCAGTTGAAACAATTCCTTTAGACGTAGTTGAACTAGAAAGAATAGTGAGAATTGAGACAAAACTCATAGTCACGGAGAAAGCAGAGTTATTGGCTTTTCTAAAAATGAACAAGGATGTCTTTGCTTAGACAACAAGCAAATGCTAGGCATCCCAACCAAATTTTCAGTTCACAAGCTAAGCACAGACTCAACTAGGAAGCCAATCATATGAAAATGTCACTTATTTGGCCTGAAAAAACAAGTAGCAATAAACAAGGAAATATAGAAGCTGTTGCAAGTAGGTTTCATCTGGAAAGGGAAGTATTCTAATCGGATATCAAATCTTGTGCTCGTCAAAAAGGCTAATAGAAAGTGGAGGATGTGCATAGAATTTACAAATCTAATTGATGCATGTCCAAAAGGCCCTCATCCATTCCCAAATGTAGAAAAACTGGTGGAGCGAGCAGTTGGTCATGAGCGTATGAGCTTCTTAGATACAAGTTTAGGATACCACCAAGTTTAGCTTTTCCTTGACAATCAAGAAAAAAAATGACATTTCATGCTGGAGACATAATTTATTATTATGTAATAATGCCATTTAGGTTAAAGAATGCTGGGGCTATGAATCATAACCTTGTTCCTCTCATCTTCAAGCTTGAAATTGAAAGGAATATAGAGGTGCATGTGGATGATATGATTGTCACTAGCCTTCGAGTTGAAAATCACTTAGTAAATCTAGATGAAACTAAATTCTATGAAGTGCACATTTGGTATGGAATCTAGCAAGTTTCTAGGTTACATAATCTCTAAAAAAGGAATCGAGGTGAATCCAAACAAGGTGCAAGCCATACAATAGATGAATCCCCCAAAAACAATGAAGGAAGTGCAACATCTAATAGGCCGCATAATAGCCTTACATAGGTTTGCCATCAGGTTGGCAAAAAAATACCTTCCATTCTTCATGGTCCTTAGGAATCCAAAGGACTTTCATTGGACAAATGAGTGTCAGTAGGCTTTGGACGAGTTGAAGCATTATTTAACCACACCACTTCTACTTGCCAAACCAATAGACGAGGAGACATTATATATGTATTTAAGAGTCATAGAGGATGCTGTGAGCTCGGTCTTGCTAAGGGAAGAGGATAGATAGAAAAAATCTATCTACTACATGAACAAAGTTTTGTAAGGAGTTGAGCGGTGATATTCGCTTGTTGAGAAGGCAGCTTTTGCTTGCATGTGTGTCGCCAAGAAGCTTAGAACTTATGTCCAACCGCATTAGGTCATTATATTTACTAACTTACCCTTGAGGAGGGTGTTATAGAAATCAAAGGTGTCAAGTTGTTTAGTTGGTTAAACCATTAAGCTCAACGAATATGATATGAAATTTGAGCCTCAAGCAACGACCAAAGGGCAAGCCTTAGCTGACTTTATCATCAAGTGTGCACCTAATGCTTTTGAAGAAGCAACCTCCTCTTGTCCCATTTGGGCTTTCTATGTTGATGGGGCTTCAAATCTGGATGGTTAAGGAGCTGGAGTTGTTATGCTAGCTGGATGGCTATAAAAGTGAGCACGCACTTTGTTTCACGTTTCCTACAACCAATAATGCTACTAAATATGAAGTTTTGATCTTTGGGTTAAAGTTGGTCGTGGAACTGAAGGTAGAAGCTATACAGGTTTTTAGTGGCTTTGAACTTGTAGTTAATCAGGTTAACGTTAGCTATGACATTTGGCATCCTTAATTAGCGCATTATAGTGCAATTGTTGCTCGACTAAATGGCAGTTTCAAATCCTTCTAGATCAATAAAATCCCCGACGATGATAATCGATGAGCTGACGAGCTATCTAAGCTGGCTTTTGCCAAAGAGATACCCTTGGGCATAACAACTTATGTTGAAATTTTTGAGACCCCTAGTTATGTTGATTTTGGTGGGTTTGGTTATTTAGTGCTAAGCACAAACCCATCTTTTCCGAGTTAGACCACACCCCTTATTGAATACTTGCAATCTGACAAACTGTCTGATGACAAGTCTGAAGCTCATTTAGTAAGATGTAGAGTAGCTCATTTTTGCCTACTTGATGGCTAGTTTTACAAGTGAGTAGCATCAATGCCCTGTTGACGATCACTTAAGGTTTTTTCTTCAAAATAAATGAAATATCAAGTGTGAAATATATAAGAAAAAGGGGAGTTGCTACTCGTCCAAATTATAAGGTGGAACAAGTCACCTAAAACAAGTCTGCGCAGAGATCGGGGTTCGAGAGTTCAGTTAGGAGTGAGGAAGGGCATACGCGCACCTCACAATCCTCCGTTTAAACACGGTTGCATACTTTAACATTAGGGGTTTTAATTCAACTTATTCATCATGTTTATGTTTGAGTCTTAATAATTAAGCTTGAAAAATACGTGGACTGAATTGTGACATCTTTTAAACTTTTGGATTAAAATGGACAAAAGCAAGACAAGCACGCACAATAACATAAACAAGAAGTTAAGGGACTAACTTGATTAAATTCACGAACATAGAGGACTGATTTGAAAAAGAGTTGACCCATGGACCAAATTGTTTAATCTTAAAAGTTCTGGATAAAATTGAAACAAGGGAAGATAATTTTGCCTTTTAGCAAGATTAAAGGAAATTAAGGACTTAAATTAATTAACTAAGATAATTGATTTAATTAAATGATTAATTTATCATTAATTAAAATTAATTAATCATATTTATAAATCTTTTAAGCAAGATAATTAAATAATATAATCATCTTAAATTAAGATCAATAAAAATGATTAATTTATTTTAATTAAAGTTAATTAATTTTATTAATCATAAACTAAATTAATTACCCTAATTAATTAATCCTTTTTATTTATATTATATAAATTTTTTTTTTACTGGACTGGGTCGGGCTGACCCAACCCAAAAACACGAACCCACCAACCAAAGTGGGCAAAAACAGATTAAAACCTAGACCAAAATGAAATCTGGACAGAAACAGAAAGGATCCGGATTTTCTATTCGGCCATCCAACAAAACAGAACAAAGAAAGCAAGTAAACATCCATTCCAATTCGGATCCATGAAATTCAACAAACATGCTTGATTTCATTCGCAATATCATCATTTAGTACAATTTTAATTAAGCAAAACTCTATGACAATTAGAATCAAACAAGGCGAAATTTCTGGAAAAAAGCAGATTGAGATCCGAAGGGAGGGATCCCACCCACGGGATCAAGCTCCCTTCTTCTCCCTCACGGCTCTTCCCAAAAATTCCTCTGTTCAGAAATTACCTAAGGCAAACCCAGAAAATGTTTTCCCTTTTTCCTTAAGCCGCTGTTGCACTCTCCCAAATCTGCACTCTCGAACCAGCCCTTCAACACCAGTGACGGAGACACAACTCACCCAAAAAGGAGAACTCCCAAACCAACCCCAAAATCAACAAAAATAACCCACAATCAAACTCCAAACTATCCCCCCTTTCAATCTGATTTTTCTCTATATATATACCCGAATAAAAGATAAAAATAAAGATAAAAAAAAGCCTTGCTCTGTCAATCAATATTAATGCTAATTTGTCTAGAGCTGCTGTAGCGTGCAGAGGCAGAGCAGCAGGGGTGCAGCAGGG